GCCTCCCAGAGTGCTAGGATTACAGGCGTGAGCCACCACACCCAGCCAAAGGATGTATCTTTTTGTCACACTAGAGGCTGACTTCTCAGTATAAAAGGTAGCCATTATTAAGAAGTCATCTTAAGAATTTGAATATTCTCTGCCCTTTAGTTCTTAAATTGATAATTTAGGCTAGTAAATGAGTGATTGCTGTTAAGGCAAATGTAGTTACTGGGAGAGGAAGAGAAGCACGTAAATGGAATAAAAGTAATCTTTTATTTCTGTCCAAGCGGAAGACATATTTGTCTTCTCAAATTTGACAGAACTGGGTTATGCATCACTATTTGCTGTTGACAGAAACAATGATAGTGAATTTCCCTTTTCTATTTGGGTTTCTTATGTCTTTATGATCTCCTTTGTGGTAAAGCTATTAAAAAGAATAGTGGGATTAGGGTATATGGCCAGGGTGCCCATATCTCGATTTGGCTAACCTACTTCTCAAGGAATTGCAAGGGAGAACTCTGAGAAGTAGTATGTAAACACCAAGGAGAAGACTGCTGAAGATTGTCATCTGATCTGATACATTCACTGATACCATAGAATGAAGCAGAACCAGAGTGTTTGTCCCTTTATGCCTAGGTGACTGAAGTTTCTGCCACATGGGAGGGAAGACAAAGTCTGCCCTGGGTGGAAGGCTTTAAATCCTTCTTACTACTGCCCTAAGGGAAGGAAGAAGCCTAAGGAAACCACTTCCATGTAGGTGACGTGTGCAGTGACCCTGCTTATTAACCAACGTGTCCTATTAGCATCCTCTACCCATGTAGGTGACATTGTGTGCAGTGCCCCTGCTTGTTAATCAGCATGCCCTCTTAGCATCCTCTACCCTAAACAGTCCTTGTTAGGTTCTCATTTGGAGATTTATTTTTTTCTAGGTTACATCCTGTTGATTTTATACTTTAGAACACTTCATTATTCTGAGAGTCCCCTAAATTACGTGAAGGCATTCATGTTAAATTGGTAGGACCTGTATTAATAGAGTGGAATGGGAAGTCTCAGTGGTAAATTAAAGGCAGATCCAAGTTCCAGGGGCTTGGACAAAACCAAATTGCTCCAATGTAGAAATACATCCCCTCCCTCCCCCCGAATTTAGCGGATTAGAAAATAATCTCTGAAATTTGTAGGAAGGGAATAAAACTGATATAAACATTTATATGCGGGTTTTTGTGTGGACATAAGTTTTCAGCTCCTTTGAGTAAATACTAAGGAGCAGGATTGTGGATTCCATGGTAAGAATATGTTTAGTTTGTAAGAAACTGCCCAACTGCCTTCCAAAGTGGCTGTACCATTTTGCATTCCTGTAGATCGCTCATCTTCACCAGGATTTGGTGCTGTCACAGCTTTGGATTTTAGCTGCTGTAATAGATGTGTAGTGATCTCATTGATTTAATTTCTAATTCCTTAATGACATGTTGAGTATCTTTTCATGTACTTACTTGCCATCTGTATATCATCTTTAGTGAGGGGTGTGTTCAGATTTTTTATCCAGTATTTTAGTTTTCTTATTGGTGGTTTTCTTATTGAGTCTTAGAAGGGGACATAGGAAGGTTTAGTCTGTCTTAAGCCTTGATGATACGCAAATAAAGGATGGTGGGCTAATTTTTGGATTGTTTATATATTGTATTTTTTGAAGGAAATAAACTTCAAGAGATACAAAGGGTATACAGTGAACATTCTCCTTC